GGGGCGCCCGGCAGCCATGTTGTTTGCGGGGCTGTCGGTCGAGTTGAGGGAGGAGAGGGGAGGCCGCGCGGTGGGGCTTCGCGGGAGGGCGGCGCGGACCCCTGCTTTCCCTTCGCCTAGAGCGGTGGGCGAGCCGGGGACCTCTGACCCGGCGGGTGGCCTTTCGCTGTTAAACTCCCTGTCGGGCACGGAAGCCGGCTCCGCGGTCACGGCTGCCCTTTGACCTTCCCTTCTGGGCACGTCCTCCAGAGCATCCTTCCCTCTGACCCCTTCTCCGTAGGTCCTGTCATCCTACGGGAGAGCCTAGGGTCGGGGGAGGACGATGCGACCGCGCGCTCCCTTCCCCGCCCCCCGACACACGCCAGGGCAGGAAGGCCAGGCCACATTTTCCATTTCTGAGCTGCGGTCCCTCATGACTGGCAAATCCGCCGCCTCTCCCTTCCCGTGCCCACGCGCCTACATTTCGCTCTCTTCCCCCATCCTTCGTTCCCTCTTATCCCTCGTCCCCTTCCGTTTATGAGTTCCAGATGGACATACCCAAACTGCTGAGTAATCCTTAATAAACCTCGTAATAAAATTATGGGTAAGAACGTTAGAGCTGAATTGCTTTAAATCATGATGCTAAAATATCCCCACCTCCACCCCCGAAAGACGTCGACAATTTCCTTTCTCCTCGCCCCCTCCTTTTTCCTTTTATCAGTCTGCTGGAATGGCAGAGACACCTGCTGATGGAGGGGAAAGGAGAGAGGAAGTATTCACTGTACCACCTACTAAAAATAGAGAATTTCTCGACATTGAGGTCTTCGGATTTTTAGTTGAGACTTTGTTACTTTATTCATGGCGAGGTGAATTTTCTAATCCAAGAATACTCGGATCCAAATACAAGAAGCAAGACTATCTCTGAAACAAACTCAAAGGGGATTTGGAGAATGTCATTTTATATAATTCGGAGTCGACAGAACTAAATGCTAGTTACAGTTCTTCATGGCATGAGGCTGTTTTCAAGCCCAGAATTTGTAGCAAGCAAGCAAGTGAATAGCATAGTCCCTACTGTATTGCTTTGGAAATGATATATTTTGTTTTCATTTATGGGAGGTTTTTTTTTTTTTTTTTTTTTTTTTTGTAGTTTTAGTATAGTTGCTGTCACCAGACACTTTCCTATTAATTAACAAAAGGTGTGGAATGAATGTCATAAAGTAGTCAAGTATTTCAGTACTAATTATCCTTAGAGCCAAATGATGTAAGCATTACTTTGCATCCTTTTTCATTTCCCTTTCCCTGAATTTTTGTTTTCAGACCTCTCTTCTTAAGTCTCTGGAATATCTCATAGAGAGAAACATCATTATTTTAGCAGGTCGGCATGCTGAAACTGATGACAAATATTGTAAAGTTAATCATTTTAAATACAATTCAAGATGTTCTAGACTGGTGGAATACTGAAATGGTGGTGGATTGTTTTTCCTATTGTCTTCAACTAAATTTAGTAGTTTGCTGTTGAAATACTTGGATCAGGAACAAGTTGGATCCCATGCCTTATGCTTTTACTTTTCATGTGTTAGACAGAATAAAAGTGTGTCTGTACATCTAGTCACATTCAATAGAACAAAAATATTTAGATATTGGCAAAAACTGGCAAGTCAGAAATGTTCATTTCTAGTGCATCAGAGGAGATAAGCCAACTGAAGCAAGCCCATTGGTCTATTCACCCGGGGGTTCTTATAGAAAAGATAAGCAGTGTGATGAATGTGTTTCCAGTTCTGACTAAATTTATTCCTCTTTATCACCTGAAGTCTCTTTCCTATGAGTCCCAGGTGGAAACTGGGAGGTAGGAGCAGGTGCTCCTTGGTAAGCTAGAGTGGTACTGGGGGAACTTAGAGGCTTGTGAGGTAACTGCCACTAAAGACGTTCTGTGTGTGTCCACTGTGGGTTTGGGAGGGTCGGGAGGGCTAGACATATTTCTGGCTGTTCTGTATAGAGGTAAGCAGAGGATGCTTTCAGCTACGCCAAGTGTAATGGTCAAGTACAAATTTATTAGCCTTAGAAGAAGTGGGGACCTTCTTAAGTCCAGATGTAACTGGACTTGTTCAATCAGGTTTTCCAAACAGGATTGCTGGGAGCAATGAAATGGGATTTATAGATATTCATTATTTCCAAAGAAGAATGCCCAAGATGGAGTTAGATGGTAATGGAAAGTCTAACTTGGAGTAAACCACTTCAATTACACACACTACTAATAATGTACTGAAAAATAGCAAAATTGGTTCTGAAAGAGCAGTTAAGAACGGTCCAATCATTATGATCATGCAGTTTATTTTAAAACTTTGCTTCCGTCTCCATTTTAAGCTCTGTCACATTAGTTGTGTAAGGCGTGCCACGTGGCACGTGTGGAGGTTAGAGGACAGTGTGTGTGAGTCAGATCACTCATTCTGTGGTGTGGGTCCCTGAGGATCATGCTCAGTTTTTCAGGCTGGGCAGCAAGTGCCTTAATCCAGTGAGCCATCCCATCAGCTTTTCGATACATTTTTAAGGAAAGGATCTCTTTCACATTCTAATTGAGTATTGGCCCTAAAGCTGGTTAATATACTCCTTTTAACTGGGTTGACATACTTCCTGAGGCACAAAGATTATGACTTAAACTAGAGGAAAATAAAATCTGCTCTCTTTCATTACAGAAAAAAAGTAGACCAAAATTAAGCAAATAAGAACTAAAGTCCTGTTCAACTGTAGATACTCACTAAGACCCTGTTTAGTATCTTTAGACTATCTACCGTAACTATTTGTCTCCACACACAGAGAGATACAGTGTTTCTTGCTTATTTTTATTAAAAAAACAAAAGCCAGAACTGTACCCAGACACTATTAAACCTGTGCAACTCATTTTTAGACAGCTTCAAGCGGTGGGATAATCATGAGAGAAAAAGAAGAAAAGACTGTGATGTTGGGGAGGGGGTAGGAAGATAGGAGGATCTGGAAGGAGTGGGAGGAGGGAAAAGAATATGATCAAAATATGTGAAAATAATAAAAAAATGTACAAACTAATAAAAATGTACAAAAATGAATGGGTGAGCTGCATAATTATGGGAATATGTTTCAAATATATAAAACGGTTAGATTATAGTGAAGCAAATCCAAATAAAGAGAGGATGGAATTGTTTAAGAGTGTACAGTGTTGTATAAATCCAGACTGAGCGCCCTCAACATTGTAACTCTTGCTCTTGGTCTGCCTTGGGTCCTACCTCCAGTTTCTTACCTATTCTAATTGCCACCAGAATGACCTCTTAAAATACATATGATTTTTTTTTCCGATCTTTTGTTTAAAAATACCCCAATAGCCTTTCAAAGCCTTTACAGTAAAAATCTAACCCCCCACTCTAGCATTCACCTGAAGTTTTTGCAGAAAGGATTTTCAGAATGCCCTAATTAGAGTCTTTTTTTTTTCCCTTTCTGCTCCCAGAACATATTATACCTATTTACTTTGCATTCACGGACAACACTGAGTCTTTGTTATTTGTTCCACAATAAATTCATGGAGACTCGGGAAACTCGCTCTGTCTAATCACTCCTTGAGTCCACAGCTGCGGGGAGCATGCTATCTGGGGTGTGCTGTTGAGGGAGCTCAATAAGCTCAGATTAATAAAGCAAGATGTTTCCTTAATGAGGTTTGTAAAGGAGCTCCGAGACTGTTCCCAAAGAGGAATTAGAAGAATACTCTGCATGGTAGTTTACATATCAGAAGCGCCCTGTGCAGAACATGCTCTTTACAACTTTTTTGAGTTTCAAAAAAAAAATATTCTAAGGTAGCTGAAAACATCAAAACAAATCAAGATGGTAGCCACTGCTGTTCTTTCTTCCTCTTGGCTTTCTAGAGATGCCCAGTTAAAAGCGATTTCCTCTCTGGACTTCCTTTTCTCTAGTGACGATGATGGGATTTAATTCTGTTCAGTGAAGTATGTTTCAGGGAAAGTCTCTGCCACTGTTCTCTGCCTGAAATAAGATACAGTGTCTGCATTGACACTACACTCTTCAGCAAGAGTGGAAAATTGTTGGAATGGAAACTGCTGTAGCAGCTTTGACTGCTTATATTTGGATTTCTTGTTTTGTTATTCAATTGATTTCTTGCTTTGTTCAAATACGTGTTGAATGCCCTTGAATTTGCTGTTGAATATATTCCTGTTATTTTCAACATGTGTTTGCATGTGTATGAACACATACACAACACACACACTTCACAAGCACGTATACACCACCAAACACACTCTACAAATACAGGTATACACATACACACATAACACACACACTCCATAAATACCTGTACACCACACACACATGCCACACACACACACACACACACACACACCCCCTCCATACTCATCCATATTTATACACTCCACAAACACATAGGTTTCTAAATTTCATCTTAATTCACCCCCAAACAATCCACTCATTTGAATTTTAGTTACCTTGGTTTTTTTTTTTGGTCTTTTTGTTATTTTGTCTTTTTTTTTTTTTTTTTCCAGAGCTGAGGACCGAACCCAGGGCCTTGCGCTTGCTAGGCAAGCGCTCTACCACTGAGCT